AAATTGATTTGCAAGTGCAAACTATTATGTGAGCAGAGAAAATGAAAAGAGAAACTTGCTACTTTATATATTCTTTGCTTATCACCAAATAATTGGAATATTGTTTTTCATTTAGGTGTTTATAGTGCAAGGTTAAACAATAGTGATTTAAAAATAGAAACAGTACCACCTTAACTTCTTTACGGTGAAAATAATGACCACAGCCTTTTTCCGAGATGAATCTGTCTAGATGAGAAACTTATATGGTAGGTCTGATGAATGTCAGAAATGAAAGCTTCCTTTCTTCCTTGAAGTAGGTGCTTTTGGCCCGAGTGCTCTGACCCCAGCCCTACAGCAGACGGGTTTCTGCTCCTCCCCAGAAGGTACCTTCAGCCCAAACAGTCCTTGCTGAAAAGTCTACGTACCACCTGCATTTTGGTGCGCAGGACTCAGTCCTGGCAGAGCCTAACTCTCGTAGTTCCCTTTGGCTTAAAAGAGGGAAGGAGAACAAAACCCATCAAATGCTCTCTTGATGGGGAAAATTTGTATTACAATCCTAATGGTCAGGGGCTGCAAACTAGCACAACCTCTATGCAGAACAGTCTGAAGATACCTCAAAGAACTGAAAGTAGACCCACCATTTGATCCAGCAATCCCACTACGGGGTTTGCACCCAAAGGAAAATAAGTCATTTTATCAAAAAGACCTCTGCACTGGCATGTTTATTGCAGCACAATTCACAATTGCCGGGATGTGGAATCAACCCAGATGCCCATCAGTTCGTGAGTGGATTCAGAGATGTGGTACCTGTATACCATGGAATATTACTTAACGGTGAAGAAGGATGACTTTTAATGCCTTTTGTAACAATTTGGATGGAACTAGAGACCATTGTCCTAAGTGAAGTGTCTAAAGAATGGAAAAACAAACACCACATGTACTCACTATTAAATTGGAACTAACTGCTGAGCGCACATGTGCACAGAGGGAAGTAAAGTGGAACAGAAATCAAGCAGGGAGGAGTGGGGAGGAGGGGATGGGCAAAAACCCACCTAATGAGTATAACGTACACTATCTGGGTGGTAGGCACACTTATAACCATGACTCAAGCGTTATAAAAGCAATACATGTAACCAAAAATATTTGTACCCCCATAATACTTTGAAATAAAAAAAAAACCCTAATGGTCATGCTTAAAAAAAAAACACACATCATTTAGATACTCTATTCTCCTGGGATTTCTCCAGGCAGTGCCTGTGAGTTGTTCTGAAACTTTATTAAAGGTACAAACAATACATAAAGGAGAAATAAGTGTGTCACAGAAATGGGACTCATTACTGAGTAGCTGTGTCTGTGTTCCATCTTTCACCAGAAAGTTAATTTTTTCTAGTTTTGCTCTTTACTCTCAGCCCATAGGTGTCTTATGAACTTTATAGATTCTTCCCAGGGGATGGAAGCTTTGGCAAAGTCTTATTTCTGTGGAGCCCAGAAACCTTTCTCTTTTCACTGGGAATCAATAAATGTCTTGCCACCAGCAAGAGCCTTCAGAATATTAGCATAATTACGTACGTACCATTCTCCTCAACGCACTAAACCTCCAAGTATAGAGAGAATCTGAGACAGTGCTGTCTTCCGTGTTTCAGTCCAACAACAAATGCCAGGATTGGGCTGGAGAATGTCATGGGAACCCCCTTAGAACAGAAAGAGAATTTGCAAATCTACCCGTAATAATGACACTTACATTTTGCTATAGTTACTCTTTGCAGGAAGGTTGGCAGTGGCACAGGTGCGTGTGATAATATTTACATACATTTCTCTTTGCTTCCTCTTCATGTTGTCTGGGTGAAAATACACAGCTGACTGTTTGGGCAACCTCATTTATGAACACAGGTTATATATGAACATTACCACACCCCCAGGGAAAATGTATTTAGTAGAAAGAGCTGGGCCAGCATTTCTGACGAGAAGTTTCCGGTCTGTTTTCGTGGCTAGTTCCTCCACCGGCTCTAGGGCCCCACAGCTGGTATGAACAGCGCCGTCGTCCTCAGCCCGGGCAACGCGCTTCGTCCGCCGTCCGCCTGCTTCCCTACCCGTCGTACTTCTTTTAGCTCGTGCCGAAGGCTGTAAGAAGCAGTGGGCAAGGAATGCTTTTCAGTGGGTGAAACATTGACCAATGATGGAAGAATGGGGGGGAAATTTTCTAGAAGTGTATGAACATTCTTTAATTTACGTTACTTTTAGTCGTAACTGCCGTAGGACACCCACCCTCAGCTTCCTCTAGTCCATCCCGCAGGCTACAGCCAGGATGGCGGTGTTAACGTGCAAACCTTACCTGGCTTTGGTTTTCATGTGCATAGTTGAGATGATACGATAACATCACTTGAGTGATTCTCCCCACTGCTTGCTGCACTTTATGTTTTCACGGAAACTGTAAAATATACCAAGGAGTGGGGAGTGTTCCTTCTCTAGACACTGCAGCGGGCTACTCCAGGCCATCCACACTGGTGCGTTCAGGGAGGAGAATGAGTTAAACGATTTGGTGCCGTTGCAGAGTAGAGCACACAAAATCGCAAGAACTGATAGCTGCCGAGCATTTCAGGTCTCTAAATTCCTTGGAATGTTTCCCAGCGAATTGCGGGGAAGGCGTGCCCTGCTTATCTGCGGCTGAGTTAAATAGTTCATGGAAACCAAGTGCCGAGAATATTAACGGCAGGCGTCTGACCCTTTGCAGGCTGCTAGATGAGCGATGCTTCGGGTTGCTGTTTTTCAGATGCAGGCTCTCATCCCTTCCTCTCTCTTCAGACTCATCCCTCCATGCTTTCTCCGTTTCTCAACATCCTCCAGCCGCTGTGAACTCCTCTCTCTGAAAGCTCCTCGCACTGTCTCTGTAGCTGCTGCTTGAAACCCTCCCTCTTCCCCGACCCCAGCACTATGCTTTTTCCTTGCGGAGTTTCACATCCTCCCCTCTCAGTTCCAAGGGGGCTTCCTCAAAGAGGAGCTCCTTGGTCTCCCTGTGCCGGGCAGCCGTTGCGTGATCCTCCCCGTTTACGTTGAGACTCCGTTTGCCATTTGACAGTTCTTCCTCTGGGGAAAGAAAAGGGGGACTTGGAACATCGTCATAATGCCTTTCAACTATAGCAGTGCAGGAGCTGAGCCTGGTCCATTTCAGAGATAATTTGTGCAAGTTACAACAAGAGAAGGAAATAAAAGCATGATTGTTCCATAGAGTTTTGTGACTTTCTCTCATGAGAAATGGAGCGTGCTTGTCTACAACTTTGTAATATTTCTAGTAAATAATAGAGGCGTGTCCCTTCTCAGAGCCGCAAATGAGGACAGAAAAGCTGGGACTGGACGTCATTGCTGTCAGTCAGTCCTCTGGGGTATACAAGAGGGAGGGTCCCCAGAACAGGTGTCTCCTCCTCCTCCATCCTCGCCCCGCTGGGTGTGTGTGAGCGTGTGTCATGGGAGGCAAACGGGTCTTCACTGTTTTCACTTTTGAAACAGAAATGGAAAAATTTCAGAAGTAGTAAGCTAAAACAATTAGTGCAAATATTATGGGATTTTTACTTAATCAAAAAAATTCTTGCTAAACATCATAGGAACATCATAGAAAAAAGAACCTCTTTGACTGATGTCTGTCTCGTGGTATGCTACGTCTTCTACTCCCTGCTTATGAAAATAGCGCCACTTAATTGAAGTTCTGGCAAAGAGAAGGGAGTATCCCTGGCCTTTGGCCAAGAATTTCCCTCACCACCGTCAACATTCCGGCACGTTCCCCCACCCCGAGCCCAGTTCCTCTCCATGATGTCTCCCTTTCTAGCCCTTATCAAAATTTAGAATCATAATGTTCCTTTAGCTCCATGTCGAATGTCTGCTTCTCCCGTTAGAATCCAAGTTGGGTAAGATCCAAGTTCTCCTTGGCCCACCCTGTGTCCTCGGAGCGCCCACCACAGTACTTGGCATCTGTTTGGCAATCGGATATACATCGAATGAATAAATAAATGATTTAAGTGAACCGATTATTTTTTAAAGTGGATCTGTCAGCCCTGTCCCACTTGTGTCCTCTGAGGAAGAGTGTTGACAAAGTACACGGGTTTCCGACGGGGTCTTTGCGTTCACTCGGTAAACACTTCCTGAGTGCCTGTCACGGGGTCAAGCCCCGGGAATGCCACCTGGACGAGACGAGATCGATGTCCTCCAGGACCTCAGAGACTAGCAGAGGGACAGACACACACGTGTGTGGATAACTGCAGTGCTTCTCGAAAGCGTGTGTCACGGGGGCGTGCAAACACGAGCTGTTGAGTTTGGTTCCGCCTGGGGCCCGAAAGTCTCCGCAGAGGCAGCGGTATTTATGCTGGGCCCTGCGGGACGAGGGGGAGAGTGGCAGGTTCATTAGCAGGACAGAGGGTGTCAGGTGGGAGACACGAATGGCATGTTTGGACAGCGCTGTGTATTTTGGCGGGGTGGATTGTAAATGCTGCACCAAGAAGTTTGGATCTGATCAGAAAGGAGCCGGGGAACCCACTTAAGCGAGGCAGGCCACGGTAGGAAGTGTGCGTTAGAGCGCGTCTACACTGCAGAGCTCTCTGGAGGGGAATAGCTGCGGCAGTTAGAAAGTCAAACCACTCGCTGCTATCATAGGGATCGTCCATTCAAACAGCCTTAATTTAACGATCATAACAAGGTGTGTTCATAGAGATGAATTTTAGAATTTCCTAGAGATGAACATTTTGCCAGAAATTTGGTAGCTCTTTTAAAATGTATATTGCAGATGAAGACTTTTAAATTATTTTTATGTCGAAGTTTAGAAAATCTTGCAAATCATTGTTTAAAAGTTGTATCCAGATAAATGTTACAGCGTAAATCCCCGCAGAGCAGACTTCTCGAGTCTTTATGGGAAGTGTAATTAAATGTTAGATTCTTCCAGACCGGTGAAATGCCCAGGTCTTGTCCGCCTTCCCCTGTTAAAGGTACTGCCTCCGCTTCTCATGAAAAAACAAACCAAAACCTTTCTCTTGCAGTTCCGCGGCAGCCTTCAAATGATCTGCTTGAAATGTTCGAAATAGAAAGAGGAGTCAGTGCAGAAGAAGAAGCAAAGGACGATCCAGGTGGGTACTTTTCGCGCCGTCACGATGACATTTTGTCGTCTCCCTGTTTCATGAAAATAACTTCTACATTGTGGATGGTGCGCCATCATTTGGGAAAATTATACACCTTTTTTTTTTTTTTGCAACGGAGTCTCACTCTGTTGTCCGGGCTAGAGTGAGTGCCGTGGTGTCATCCTAGCTCACAGCAACCTCAGACTCCTGGGCTCAAGCGATCCTCCTGCCTCAGCCTCCCGGGTAGCTGGGACTACGGCATGCGCCACCATGCCCGGCTAATTTTTTCTATATATTTTTAGTTGTCCAGATAATTTCTTTCTATTTTTTAGTAGAGACGGGGTCTCGCTCTTGCTCAGGCTGGTCTTGAACTCCTGACCTTGAGCGATCCATCCACCTCAGCCTCCCAGAGTGCTACGATTACAGGTGTGAGCTACCACGCCTGCCCTAAACCTTTTTTTTTAAACAACTCAATTTCCTCTCTACTTAAATCAGTTGAGCAAAAATAACTGTGAACCATCATTTTCTTTGTACAAAATATATTCAAGTCGTATTTAAACGGTGAGAAGGAAATCACGTCGTCTAAGTGATGATGTAACAAGGTCATGATTTGGCAACACTCGTGCGTTCTGTTTTTACAGACGAGGACACGTGCACGATTGTGCTGAGAAGAATAATGCAATTTCCTTTCGATCTCGTGGAGAGAAGTTCTGGTGTGTGGCTGGGAGAGAACGCTCGTTACACGAGTGCCCCGAGTTCACAAACTGACGTGTTGCCGTTTGCTGTCAGTGACCTGCTCACCTTTCTGCTCATTTCCTTCCAGGTGTCCTGATACACAGCTGTAATTTCGACAGCGGACTTTGCGGATGGATCAGGGAAAAGGACAGCGACTCACACTGGGAACCAGTCAGGGACCCGGCAGGTAAAGCCGTTTCGTCTGACTTTTGCTGGTGCACATTCGGTCTGGTCCTGTCTGAAGACCCTAGTCCTGCTGACCAAGTGCACTGTGACACATGTCTGTGTTCACTTAGCAGAGACGGTCAGAAAAGATCACCGGCATTTATATTCCGTTTTCTTTAAGTGAGCTAAATTTGTTCGCTCTCCATTAGTATTAAATTATGGGAGACAGGTAGTTAATTAAAAGGCCAGTGAATTTGTCTCAACAAGGCTTGGTAAGCAAAATATTTAGGTTTATTCTTGCATATAGATTTCAGGTTATTTTTAGTGCCCCATTATTAGGAATAAAAAAAGTAATATTGTGGGAGGTGGTCTCTGATCGGTTTTTCAATGATGTCCCTTTTTTTTTTTTTTCAAGATTTGAAAGATAGGAGGTGATGATAGAACTCCTGTGAAGCTGTGATTATCTAAGAAAAATTTCACTCTAACTTGGATGCTGGATAACACAGTTATAAATTGCCACCGCTTATGCCATAAGAGAAGGTTATGAGAAAGGTGGGGGTGAGAAGTAGGACCCGTGGCTGGAAACTACAGGGGGATTCATTTTGGCTCACTTACAGAGAGAACTTTCTAGAAGAACCGTCTCAAAAGAGAACAGGCTGACGTGGAAGGGGTGAGCTCTCTGTTGGAGGAAGCATTTGGGTGACATAGGGCAAATGTCATTAAAGAATTTTGAGCATCAGATAAGGGCTGGATTAGAAAACCTCTTAACCCAGCTCTTAGAGCCCCCGATTCAGAACAGAACGCCCACGGAATCCCAGGGAAATTGGCGAGCAGTGTTCTAGCTTGGAAAAAAAGAAGGAGACTGAGAGATGACAGAGAGTTGGGAGAAAGTGGTAGGAATGCCCGGCATACGTCAGGAGGGAACTGCAGGATATATTTCTAGAATATGGTGGGGAATTTTAACCATTTTCTGATGAGAAATACTAATAAAGCTTGCCTTTTCATGCCTATTTTTCTTGTAGGAAGTTCAGGTGTGTGTATGTGTGCGTATCACGTAAAGGCCAGAGAAGAATATAAGTAATTTAATAAATTCTGTGTGTTATTCCAACTAGCAAGCTAATTGTTTACTTCTTTCTATCTAGATTATACCATTTGTAAAAATATGTATTTGGATGTCCAGTCATGACTGATGTTAACGGTGTGCAGTTCTTATCCAAGATCCAGATTTGCGAATGTTCCTATATGCTAATATTTCTAAGAAAACCCTCAGTTAAGTAAACTTAACAACCTTGAGAAGCAGCTGCAAAGAGATTGCATTCGCTAACTGCCCCTCCTGGGGCTGCTGGGTCTTGTTTACCACGTTTGGTTTTGAACGTCATTGTAAGATGTGTAATGAATACCTTCCTCTAAGTTAGAAGTGGAAAATCGTGCTACCAACAGACGTGGGGGTGTGCTGCGGGCAGGCAGTGTGGCCCTGAGGACACACCCTTCTGCTGTGAATGTCAAGGCTAGACCTGAGACCCTTTTTCTGGAACCCTGATCTCTGGAGAACAAGGGTTAAAGGCAACTCTGACTCAGCACTCTGCTGCTGATAGCTATGAGGAATTTATTTAAATATGTACCAAGCATGCCAGCATGTACATGCAGATCTGTCTCTAGACCTGCGAGAGCCCCACGGGGACTCGGTGGAGGAAGAGACACTTCCAACCCTAACCCTAACCCTAACCCTAAGAAGAGACTCTACCAATAATAGGACACCCCAAATCTTAACTATGTCTTATGTAAATTAAGCATAAGAAGGAGGCGATGGCTTATCTCTCAACTGAAAAACGAATGGGGCTCCTACCAAAATACACACATAGGCTCAGCATTCTGACCATGTTTTCCCTATGGAAAAATCAGTGTTGAAACATAGAATGTGTTTTCCAGTTGGCCGAGATAAAACAGCCTGAGAGAGGAATGTCATTCGTACATGGATCGAGTTTCAAAATACCACTTACAGCTTTCTCTTGAGAAGCAGCATTTTTCACTTCACTGCTGCTAGAAGTTTCTTTTTCAATTGCAGTTTCCCTAACGACAGAGGGAAGCAAACTCTGTAGCCCCAGGGCTTTGGGGAGATCGTCAAAGTGATGAGTCTAAAGTGAAAGCTTTTATTAACATTTTGTGTTCATGTATATACAGTAGAATATATTTATGAAGTAAACATGTAGATTTGTTTTAATATAAAAATGTTTTAAATGACTTACCGCCAAATAAAACTGATACTCCGGGAAGATGCGGAGTTTTCCAGAACACCTTTGTATCTTCCTGGGGTCAGGTTTACACCAGTGTGAGGTATAGCAAAGACCCTTCTGTAGTTAGAAATTTTAAAAAAGTGAGGGGAAGAGAGAACAAATAGATATAGCACCCTTTATATCGCCATGTGCTTTAGTGCACAGAGGTTAATTAGCCACATAGAAAATTCTTCCTGGAAATTTAGGGTCAGTTCTTCCAAACCACCCAGATGGCCTGGCAGGGGGTGTTGGACAAGATAATCATGAACTGGTGAGACTCAGAAGGTGCTGGATGAATGTGTGTGTGTGTGTGTGTGTGTGTGTGTGTGACCATATTCCACTGGAGACACTCTGTGTTTGGATCACTGAGTATTGTGTGTCTTTGGCATGACTTCTCTCTGTGAGCACAGTGAGTCTGTGTTTTCTGTAAACAAAATCCATAGAATTTAAAACAGGTATAGGCCGGGCGCGGTGGCTCACGCCTGTCATCCTAGCACTCTGGGAGGCCGAGGCCGGCGGATCGTTTGAGCTCAGGAGTTCGAGACCAGCCTGAGCAAGAGCGAGACCCCGTCTCTACCAAAAATAGAAAGAAATTAGCTGGACGACTAAAAATATGTAGAAAAAAAAAATTGGCCGGGCATGGTGGCGCGTGCCTGTAGTCCCAGCTACTCGGGAGGCTGAGGCAGGAGGATCGCTTGAGCCCAGGAGTTTGAGGTTGCTGTGAGCTAGGCTGACGCCACGGCACTCTAGCCAGGGCAACAGAGCGAGACTCTGTCTCAATCAATCAATCAGTCAGGCATAGAAATAAGTCATGTTTTTCTCCTTCAAAAATCCGGAAGTCTTCACAAACAGAACACCGAGGCCCCTGCCGTGCTGTCCCGCCTTCCCGTTGCAGGCGGACAGTACCTGACCGTCTCGGCTGCCAAAGCCCCGGGGGGAAGAGCCGCGCGCCTGGTGCTACCCCTCGGCCACCTGCTGCGCTCGGGGGACCTGTGCCTGTCCTTCAGGCACCGGGTGACCGGGCCGCACGCCGGCACGCTGCAGGTGTCCGTGCGGAGACACGGGGCCCACGGCGCGGCCCTGTGGGGGCGAAGCGGCGGCCGCGGCTGGAGGCAGACGCAGCTCACCCTGCGAGGGCCCGAGGCCAAGAGCGTGAGTAGCTCCCGCGGGGGGAGTCTGGGGTCTGCGTGCGAAGAGCTGGCTGTGGAGCCAGGCTCAGACCACAGGCTGTGGTGATCCTGGGCAGGTGACCCCGTGCGGTGTCTCCCTCTGAAATCCGTTCCTGCTGCTTCTTCCCTCTTCACTGCAGCCTGTGACCCCCTCCTCCCGACCCTGGTGAAAACCACTCTTCTTAATGAAAAAGCGTTTAGGGCTGGAACCAGGTTAATCCACAGTTCGAAGGGCAGGGCGGTGGGCTCACCTGTGCCTGCTTTTCCTTTCCTTGAATTCCTGCACTTCAGCTCTCACCACCACAGATTTCCCTGGGGATGGTTCTTTTCTCTCTTCTGAGACGTTTCTTTAAAGCTCGGTTAGGTTTTTCTTTGCCCCAGAGATCTTAGTTCAGCAGCCCCGGGTGGGAACCTCGGACCACAATTGGAAAGCGCTGTTGCATTCTGGACAGGATGTCGGAAGTGCGTTGATCGAATATATAAATTAGATCTTAAGCAATCAAGGCATAGGTAGCAACAAGACGTTGAACGACATCCCACCAAAATAATGAATGCGTTTGGGAAAATGTCTTCTTTATGTTGCTGCTCATAAAACTTGCTGTTAGGAGATTCTGCCTCTTTGTAAGTTTCTAGAAACTATTGTAGAAAGAAAAGATAGATTCCATTAATACAGCTTTTATTAGGGTACTTGCATTTTGTTTAATTCTTTGATATTATTCCTTAAAGTTTTTCTCAGTATTTACATCGTTTGGAGAAATAAAACAAGATAATTGTTTCAAATCAAAGCATCGAAAGGTCTCTCCTGTTTTAAAAGGACCAAGGATGCTCTATAGAAGATAAAATACAAGAATAGTGAACATTTTGGGTTTTGCACAGGTATAAACAACAGTGGGATTGGATTATGGCATTCGATTCTGTTCCATTTTCGGCAGTAAAACTGTATTAACCGAATGGAAGAACTAGGACACATCTAAGACAGGCTGCGCGAACGTGATCTTTCAGATCTCTTAATAGCGGTGCCTTTGTATTCTGTCACACTCTTCCTCCCGCCCTGGCAATCCCTGACAAAAGGGCTCACTCCGTAAACATTCCTGGGGTGACTTAGTCCGCAGTTAAAGTGGCTTCTCAAAGAGTGACTGGTGCTGAGCAGCGTGGTCTGAGCAGCACTTTCCTGAAGTTTCTACTGAGAGACAGCGTCAGGTGACAATGGCCACTGTGTCTGGTCCCTCCTCCTGTTCAATAAGTTTGCCGTTCCGTTTTGGGGAAGGTTCGCCTCCATTTTGCGTCCCAGGCGTGCGTTGGAAAGGAGCGGAGGAGGCCTGAGCGCTGCGTGCCTTCTCTCCGCAGGTCATCTTCAAAGGCGAAAAGAGGCGCGGTCACGCCGGGGACATCGGCCTGGACGACGTGAGCTTGAAGAGAGGCCGCTGCTCTGAAGAGCGCCACCAAGTCCCAAACGCGCAGTGAACGCCTCTACGGCCCCCTCTTCTTCCAGTCCCCATCTTCTCGCGTCTTCTCCCCTCATCAGGCCTAGGCGAAGAGCGGGTCGGCGGGCAGGAGGCAGCCTGGCGGTGACCCAGGGCTCGGTGGCCGGATTTCGCGCGGTCCCCGTGACGCCCTCCTGGAAACACGGGTTTCTGCAGACACATCCGGGCCACTGCTGGATGTTGCCTTCCACCCCACGTCTCTTTTTAGAAGGCCTTCGGCACGTGGGACCCAGGCCATCCTTCACCGGGTTACAAGGCGCTCTTTGTAGCGAATGATGGGAGCAAATTCAATCATGGGAGAAGTTTTCGAAAGCAATCTGTGCAAACGGCCATTATGTTACCTGTTCAGTGTGTTGTACCCTGAGTAGCTTTGACTTCCCTTAAGGTAACAGCGTACAGTGTGCTTGTGAAGTGGGTTTATCCTCCTCACCTAGGTTGGTTCTGGCCTGACCCGAACTCTTTTACTGCCATTCACTTTATAAAATAGGGGTGTGTAACATATCAAGATGCATTCACTGTTATCTGTATTTTTCTTTTAAAGACAATTACGTAGAGCGGGCACGTAATCCTTCGTTAGTGCTATTGTGTTCTGTGTAAATGTGCTATTGATATTAAGTATTTCCGCGTTCCCGATATTTGCAGACTCCAGTTGCAAGGTAAAGGGCAGCTCGTGATCTCTTGGGTGAAAAAATAACATGGTGAAATGTCACCCGGTTCCATGACCTTACATTGGCAGCCAGAGAGAACTGGCAGAGGTATCAGGTTGTGTTAGTGGACTGACAAATTTTTTTTTAATAGCCTTGAGTTTGATCTTTGCAAAGGGTAGCAGACCATTTCAGGAGATAAGAAACTGCAGTTAATACATAAAACCTTCACCGTTTCAGGTGATACTTGTAAGCCAACAGCTTTACCGTCGTAACACGGGGCTCGCTGGTAACCTGTAAGCTTTGTCAAAGTTTCGGTTGTTTTGGAGAAAGGATCGTGTTGAAGGAAGCATCGAGGAAATGACCCCAGCACAGATTTTCCTGCAAAGTTTTAAATCAAAGTGTGGGCAGGTGTAGCTCGTCCCTCGTGCTGTGTCAGGACGGGCGGGAAGTCCCGTGCTCGGCGGCATTGCGTCGAGAGTAGGATTCGCGCACGCTACGGGAGCGGGGCGGGATGGGAACTCTGAGATCCACAAACCCCCAACTGTATTTCCTCTCTGCATATTTTACGTTTCTATTTAAAAATAATGGGACTTTCAAAAGGCCTCTTACGCCTGAGGCTCTTCTTAATTTCTGATTAAGTAATCAAAATATTTTCTGCTGTTTCTGCCAGGAATCACAAAGATGATTAAAAGGTTGGGAAAAAAGAATCTATGATGAAAAATTACAGGAACTGGGATGATTCAGCCTGGAGAAGAGGAGACCGAGGGGTGAACCACGGACGGGTTTCGAGCGTGTGAGGGGTTGGCGCGGAGAGGGTGGCAGCCAGCTGTTCTCCACTGAGAATAGAATGAGAGGAAACAGGCTTAGACTAGAGTGTGGGGATCACTTCTGGGCAGGGACAGTTGTTAAATTAGAATCCTTTATAACAAAAACAAAGTGGGGTGAAAATCTCATTCCCCTCCCTGCCCCCACTCCCTCAGCTTTTTAAAAATTAGATAAAAACCCATCTATTTAAGATGGTTAAAGATGTTCTTACCTGAAGGTAAAGTGACAGATCACAGGATCTCCCAAAAGCTGTTTTGACCCTGTTGCTGGTAGGGAATGAAAATCCTCAGCACCACGTGCTGTCGACGAGGCTCTAATTCATGCCTTTCCCTCTTGACCTCTTCACGAAGAGGAGAGAGCCTACCAAATGCCAAGCTCACTAAAACATCTCTCCTTTTATGGCAAACTGAAAAGTATTAAAGCCAAAAGAAGAAAAAAAATCACCAAAAAACTATTGATTCCAAAAGAGAATACGATGGACAGGTATTTCAGTATCTCGGTGATGTCCTAGTGTGGTGTGTTTTAAAATTATTTTCCTTGGTACAAGTATAAACCGGTCACTTGCTGAGTGGATGACGTTTCGTGGTTTTAAAGACACCGGGATCACAGTTCAGAGAGGTTTTCGTCTGGGGCATCTTCCTGCTTCGTGTGGGACGCGTCAACTCGGCTTCTGAAAACAAGTGCGCTGCCCAACGCCGCTAGACCTTCCCTTCCCCTCGGTCTCTTACCAGTTGGGATCTCCCAGGTTCCACAAAACAGTGACGTTTTTTGAACAGTAGGTCCAATAGAAGGTCTTTTGTCATTTAACATGGTAGAGGCAGGGCTGGAGGCAGAATATAAATCATTAGGCCTTTGAGTAGAGGCAGAGAATACGGCCTTAGATCCATTTTCGATGATTCATTTCCTTTTGGGTCATAGAACTGCACAGCTGAAGACAAAAGGGGGAAATAATTGAAAATGTTACTTTTAGGTGCCAATAATATATTGCACTAAACCGATGGCAGAAGTTATCCAAAGTACTGTATACCATCTTGTTTATTATTTAATGTTTTCTAAAGTGAAACATGTCAGTGGTTTTCCAAACAGCCAAATAAAAACCATTCTTTGTAAATAAAAACAGTTCATTCTACCAGCTGTCTATTCTTGTTGTTTTTTGAGTTTTGTTTTTTTATGACTGGGAAGAAAGTATTGAGGTGGCTAAATGATGTTTCACAAAAGCCACCTGGAGTGGGACCCCTTTACTGCTTGGAAGACTGGGGACACATTGCCTATAGGGTTACGCTTTCTAGGTTATAAAACAGTCACCTTTTTTCATCAGCACGCACAGGAAAAAGGTCAAGAGATCATTGTAACCCATGTCGTGCCTTAATAAATCGCCTTAGTTATGTTTTATTTTGTTGTAAACCTTTGCTCCAAGTTCTTTTTTATGGAAAAGCAAGGTAAGCTACAAGTAGATATAAATATATGAATTATAAGTGAAAAGTCTTTTTTACTAGTGATTGTGTTAATTTATAACATTTTACTCATACTCCAATAACCTTTCCTGATGGATAAAACAACTATAAAGGAACAAAATTAATAAAATTATGCAAGAATGAAAGTCCTCACGCAGAGTTACAGGGAACACACTCAGGGGCTTCTCTCCAATACCGAGAACTCCACAGCTAAGTGACTCAAATCTTGGATAAATACATGATTCAAGGAAAAAGTAAAGAGAAGCCAGGTGTTTCCTTTTCTCAGGGCTCCTTCCTAATCATCCCTCTGAGCTCTGAGCAGTCCAGGTTTTCTGCGTGTGTCAATCAAGCAGCTAGACTTCTGAAGACTGAGTTTGAGGCTGAGGGTCGGGAGGAGCATTGATTTACTCAGCAGATGTTTAAACTCTGACCAGCGTGCGCGGCTCTGGGCCCCGCAGCGAGCAGACTCCCCCTGGGGGTTCCAATCCAGAGAGGGAGACGGACATTTATCAAAGTCACAGAAGTCGATGCAAATTTGCTGTTCTGAGAGAGTGCGAGGTGGGTTTCAGGGCCTCACCCACCGTTCCTCAAACGTTACCGTACATGGGAATCACCTGGAATCCTGTGAAAACGCGGCTTTCATCCAGCGCACCTGGAGTGGGGTTTAAGATTCTGCATTTGTGACGAGTTGCCGGAGGAAGCCTGCGCTTCTGGTCCCGGGGCCACGGTGTCAGGCGGGGCCTTGATCTCCGCTGACGGTCGCCGCTGGAAAGCCGGACAGCCCGTGGTTGCAAGATCAACGCTCATAAGAATTCAGTAAGTCCCAGTGTATTTTTTTCTTGCAAACAACTTATTTTCTGAGTACGGGTTATTTAAGCTTGCCCACCTGGTACAGAACGTTGTTTTATCTCACAAATGGCAGGGCCTTCAGAATACGGAATTCATAATGGAGGATGCAGAAATGCGAGGCGGTGAGCTAGGAGGTCTGCATTTTAGAAGACAAAGGGACATTCATAAATTGGAGATAATTTAATAGAAATGCTTTTCGGGGCTCCAGGATGCAGAAACCTGAAGTTACAGCAGAGATTAGTTCCAGCTGGATTTTTCTGGGGTTAATTCATGAAAAGCTAAAAATTGAGCTTCACTCATAATCTGATCATTTAATTTCTAAGAGTATAGATTACTGGCCCTTAGGGCTGTTCCACTGTTTCATGCCCAGCTTCGTGGTCTAGAGCAAGTATTCTGCGGTATTCTAGATCCGCCTTCAGATGGTCTCTCCCTATCTGTTGAATTATCTAAAGCAGTCGTTTCCAACGGGGGCGGGGGCAGTTGTGACCCTCAGGGGGCATTTGTAATGCATAGAAACATTTTTGGTTCTCATGACTTGGGGGTGCTACTGACATCTCGTAGGCAGAAGCCAGAGAAGTTGCTGAGCCTCGCATAAAGCCCAGGACAGCTCCACACTGTAAGGAATTACCTGGCCTAGAATGCCAGTAATGCCAAGGTCGAAAATCCTGATCCAAATCAGTGATTCTAAAGCAATGATTTTCAAAGAGTGGTCCCCGAACTAGCATCACCAGTCCTGGGAATGTGCTAGAAAAGCAAATTCTCGGCCTCCACGTCCAACCAACAGAATCAGAAACTTAAGGTGGGCCGGGAATCGGCCGTAACAAGCTCTCCAGGTGATTCCAACAGGCTTTACTGCGAGGCTGTTGCCTTGTTAACTCTGTCTTCCACCACCCAGCTAGAAAGAGTGGCTGGCAGGGACCGAGTTTCGGGGCCGTGCTCCCCCCATCTCGCTCTTTAACTCCGAACGTTCGCGGTCGTGATTCTACAGACGTTGCTCCTTCGGGGGCTGCTCGTACTCTGTGAGACCTCGTACGTGGCCCGGGGCCTGATCTGCGAGTATCGCCACATCCGCAGCCCTTGGCAGCCGCGGTCAGCTCCTCTGATGGTCCCTGAGATCCTCTCTTCCTGGGCTCCCTCCCGCCACAGTCCCACCCTGCCGCCGTCTACTGGGAAGCTCCCAGGAGACGTCACAGAGGAGCCCCGAGCTTTATTAATTAGTTTGTTATTTCTCTCCCCTCTCGTCCTTTCCCCCAAGCCTGCTCCCTTCCACTAATTCCCTCCTTGT